CTAATGGCTTTATATTAAGAATTTCCCCAGGTTAATGAAGAAAGAACTCCAGTGGAACCAGAGATGGGACCCCACAGCTTCAAGATCAACATCTTCAACCTGCAGACCCTTAGCATGGACTGTGCTAGATATGCCAGCTACAAATTTCAGATGCAGAATGAAACAGAGACTACACACCATTATCCTGCTGTGTTCAATGTCACCTACTCCATTGTGCAAATTTTACATCATATCTCCTGCCTTGAAAGACTGTCATGACAGATGGAACCCAAGACTAAACGACTAGACTAAACAAACTCAATACACATTTTGAAAGGATGGTCCATAAACTAAGAAGTGATATGAACTGACTGCAACCTCCTACTCCCCATACCCCTGTACCACTTAGGGTTGGGGGGAAGAGGTAGAAAACTCAGGAAAGAAAGAATGATGTTATGAACAAGGCAAGTGGGAAAAGGTGAATTTAGTTTGGCTTTGTTTCTCACCATATTTTTAACTGACAATAAATTGACTTTCCCCAAGGTGAGTCTGGTTTGTCCATGACAATAATTGGTAAGTGATCTCCGTGTCTTTATCTTAACAAATGGCCTTTTAATCTTATGATGTCACCCTTTTCTGTTAAAGAAGGCAGGTGGTCGCCGCTTGTCAGCCAGCCAAGGTTAAACCCACCACAGGGATGCTGGGCTTGATCTGTGTGTCCTGCTATCAGAGAACTCACTTTAGCCCTGCAGACAAGCAGCCTTCCCTGGCCAGGCAGGACCATCTGCATGGGGTGGGTGATTGCAAGAGCAGGGTGGAAAGAATGGAGGGGACAAGGCAGGCTGAGCCCTGCCCTGAGACTAGTGTGTTCCTGCTACTGCTGCTGACTGATCTTAGGTGGGAGATAAGTGCAGTCCTTGAAGATGATGGTAGTAAGTCTCACCTCCTCCAAAGCCTTTGGGTTGTGTCTCCTGGGGTGAGGCCTGGGAGCATTCCAAATATGTTTCTTTGCCCTCTCCCTGTTCTCTGTTTCTGTTTGAGCACTTGAAAAGCTGTTAGCCCCCACAACAGGAGCCCTCTGTGCAGCTTTGGTTACCTCAAATAGCTTTCCAGGCTCCTTTTGGTGCCTCCATGAGCCCTCTCTGTGCATTTAGGTGCCTAGGGCAGAGGTGACCATTGCACCACTGTGAAGCTACAGCCTCACACACTCCACCCCCACGATTACCATGACCACCCCGACGATTACCACGGCCTTCTCCCCAGAGCTGCACCCCTGACCTGAAACTGCCCCCTTCTACCACAGCCCCATTGACTATCAGCCCCACAGAAACCACCACAAACACTGCCCCACTGTAGAGTAGCTTTCCCTTCCTCCCTGGAAATCATAGAATGTTGTGAGTTGGAAAGGATCCACAAGGGTCATTGAGTCTCACCACAGCCTATCCCACTGCAAAGCAGCTTCTACCTAAGCCCTCATCCCAGAATCACCCTCCAGTCCCCACCACAGAGGAACTGCCCCCACACAGCCCCAGCACAGAGGAGCCATCACCCCACACATGCAGCCCCCACAGCCCTGCAGTTGCCCCCAAAACTGCCCTACAGCTACCCCCAGAAGCTCCAACAAGCCCCACAAGGAGATTGTCTCTTGCTGGGTTCTGGTTTGCCATGCCAACTGCTCAGTCCTCAAAGGCCTGGGGTGTTTTAAAGGCACTGGAAGAGGTGCTGAGGGGGCTTCAGCTGTAGCCTGCAGGTCCCTGGGGACCCTTGGGACCTTCCCTGGGGCACCTATTTGGGCTGGAGAGGTGGATGGCAAGTGCTGAGGGAAGGGGAATTGGAAATGGGCTGCAGAGAGGAACCTTTTCTGTTCCCTTGCCTTGGTGGGCTGGGGAAAGGCCTAAGGGGCTTCTGCTACGTCTGTGCTCCTGATGTGCCTCCCTGGTCCCCAAGCATGTGGGAAGCTGTGACTAGGTCCTAGGGGAGTGGGTGATGGGGCAAAGTCTGTTCTATGGGGATCCAGGATGGTTGGGACAAGAGAACCGCTGTCAGCAGGGATGGTTGCAGTGCCCACTCATGATGGAGGTTAGTCAGGAGAAATTGGTTGTAGGACAGATTGCCCAGAGCACGGAGAACCAACACCCAAAGTAGGGCAGTGTGGTGTGCATCACCCTGTCTGCCCTCCTGGACAGCAGACCAAAGTTCCTCTGGTGTGTGGGACCTAGGCAGGGCAGAGGCCCCAGCAGGGCTGGGCCTTGAGGAGTGCCCAGGCTAGAGAAATGGGCTGCCAGAGGTCTCATTTGCTTTAACAAAAGGAAATGAAAAGTCCAGTTCCTTGGGAGGAATAATCTCATACACCAGTAAAAGCTGGAGGCTCACCAGTAGCTTTACAGCAACTCGGTCTTGGTAGACTCAAGTTGAACGTGAGCATCAGCACACTCTGTGGCAGAGAAGGCCAAGGACTGCATTAGGAGGAGCTTGGCTAGCATGTTGGGCAAGGTGACCTGTCCCCTTAGCACTGGTGAGGCCACATCTGGAGTGCTGTGTCCATCTTGGGGATCCCCAGTTAAAAAAAAAAAATATGTAGACACACAGTTTGTATTTTCAGCATACTTAAAGATCCATCTGATATCAGAAATGTTTTAGCATTTCAGTTCTTTCTCTTCAGCTCTCACCCTTCTCACACAACTCAGGCTGGCTACAGATTGAGCTCAAAAAGCATTTAGGGGCCTAGTTCTGGGTTAATGATTGCTGTAGACCTTTTAATTCAAAGGCACAGCCTCAAAAAGGTAATTTCTGGGGGTGACTAAATGTGTTAGATGCCTCTCTGTTTCTTAAAGATCCTATCTATCTGCTTAGATGTGTGCCCTCTTCATCCCTGCCCACGCCTCGGGGCGGGGGGGATGCCACGTGGGAGCCCTCTTAAGACTCCAGGTGAAGACATTTGACAACTATTCCGAGGAAAGGCCCCATTTCCCCTCAAGCATAAGTGATTCCTGTCAATTAGGATCAGGATACCAAACAGGAGAGACACATGATCTGAGTTTTGACAGGAAGTCCTTTTTTTCCAGATACTTCAAAAAACTTTTGGGTTTTAAAACTTATAGATGGACTAGATGAATCCAAGCAAAAAAGTGCAACAATGCCACTCAAGGATTTAACTTAAATCAGTAGTATCTTAATATTGCCTAAACAAGACAGAAATGAGTGATGTGAAGTAATAGACAAAATTGGTATTAGAGCTTGACAAAACTCTTAGATAATGTAGTAAAGGAATGTGTAAACCAACCATAATTCTCTCTGGAAGTTTTTTAAAGAAGGTGGAGGAGAGAGTGTGTACATCTTTACTCTGAGAAATGCAGCTGGGTCAGAAGCACTGGGATTTTCCACTACGGCACACCATCAGCATGTCAAGCATGATACTGATGAAAATTGGTAGTCCATGCTCTGACAGGTGTCCTGACCCAGTGGGTTTGGGAACCAAGTATGTAATGGGAGATGGGATTCCAAACGCCTCTTTCATGCCTCCCAGTATATCTTTTTATTCCCTACATTTAATTGCTTTCTTGCCTTCAGCTTCACCTGACTGGATTCTAGGCATGTCTGTCTCTTGTGACACCTCTGCAAAATTCCTAGGAAGAAGAGTTGCTATACCCTCTGCTGTTACACCCTTGACCAATATAATTAAGGGCACAGGCATGAGTTGTTCTGGGGTTGCAAGTGGTGTTGGCTGTTGGCCATGGCAGCACAGAAAGCAGAGAAAGCATAACAGCAGAGAAAGCATAACAGCAGAGAAAGCAAGCTCATTTTGTGGTAATAAAGATGCTTCTAAGGGTGCAAATTTCATGGATGAAGAGTACACTGGACTAGTGAAGACAAAAGAAACAAATTCTATCAGTAAGCAGTCCACACTGTCAGCTAAGGGGTAGCTTCAGCTTTACTGAATTTTTTGGACTATATTGAACCAGAGAAGTCCCATTTCCTCCCTACAAGCCCACTACTTGTGAACTCCATGCTGCTTTGGTTTATGGAATTTTGTACAGCATGACAGCATGTCATCTTAGCAATAGATTGGAATACAGTAAGAACTAGAGCCTTTGCCGGCATAAAACATTGCTGAGATTTGAGTAATTTGCTTAGTGGCTGACTGTTACTCTATCAGGAGGAGGTATCAGGAAGATCATTTGGCATGGTGTCCATTGTTGCTCCAAAGCCACAATATGCCAGAAATCATTTACAAATTAAAGGACTTGAGCTTGATGGGCAGAACTGAGCTGAGTGAGGCATGCTGATGCTTCTCCATCTGTGTGACATTACCATGTTTCTAGATAAGACTGAAAGTCACAGAGAAATAGATTTGATTCATGCCTTTTATGTGTGCTTTTTGATTGGATGCTGCAAAAAGCAGCAGCAAAATTACATTTTATAGATTGTCATATGCAGGCACAGCTTGTATTTATTTGCCTCAGTCCATTGCTACTTTCTTAGTACCTGGAGTCCCCAGAAGAGGGACCTTACTGGCCACCAATTAGTGCAAGAGGTCAGGTTTTTTCTGTCTTCTTACAAATCTCTTTATTTCTCACAGTTCTGCAGCAAGTGGCCAGAAACATGAGTACATTTCCCCTATGGAGACTGAGTTTCAGATGTTGTGTTAGATCAATTTCTACCATTTATTTTTTTGTAGGCTGGAATATTTTTCCTTCCTGTGTCATGGCCAGTTTCTCAAAATGGGAGAGACTCATAAACCCTAGGATCTGCCTGGGTGTGACTGGCCTACTCTGTTAATGAGGAGATAACTGACGGTCCACTGAGGGTTTATTATATGTCAATAAAGAGTTTAGATTAATAGATTACCAGGCAAATGCTCTGTAAAGTCTTTATAAAGCTTCAACTTTGCACTGGGAGCATAGAGCTCTGTCTGCTAGATGGTCTGAGTGCTAAGAAAAGAAAGTCTGAGACACAAAAGAAAGACAGAGAAGGACCAAAGCCAGAGAAAAGGTTAGGAAAGACTATACTTTGCAGACACTATGAAGAACGAACTTTCCTTTACAGTCCTTGCGCTGCTTTTACTGGTGCACAGCTCTCAAGAAGTCTATGTACAGGTGAGTTTTCCGCTCTTTAATTTTTTGCTGTTACAGGTTCACCAAAGTACTGATATTATGTGAAGTGTTGTGGATGCAACAGGAATCTTGAACTAAACTAACAGATCTAAATTATTGCTTTGCTCTGGCTGGATACCCAACTTCATCTCCCTATGGTTCAGATTTACTTTCTGTGAAATGCTGCAGGTATTATTAATATGCTGCTGCAGTTTTAATCAACTTCAAGAGCAATATCACTACTCTGAAATCCTTTGCTGACTGAGGCATTGTTTCCAGAGTTTTCTTTTGCACATAACCCCATGTGCTGTGAAGCTGCAAGAACTGGGGACACCTCTAACTTTATAGAATGATGCAAACAATATGAAAAAGAAAAATTGCCTTATCTCACTTGCTTCTAGGCAGGAAGTTCTTTATGAAAATGATCTGCAAAATTATGTGACTGAGCCTACACACATATCACGCATAAAAAAAAAGGTGAAAGAAATGCTAGCTGGATCTAATGAAATATTAATATGGAGATAAACTATTAGAAGAGACTATACCAAATTTTCTAAAATACACAGCACTTATGACTGATATTACATGGAAAATGAAAGCAGTTAAGGTACTTCAGTGCTCTTGTCTGTACTTGCAAGTGTGTTGGATCTGTCTGCACTCATCCACAGAAACAGTTTAGGAGATTTTAGTTTGATTGCAATGTAAATAAATTCCAAGAGAACTAACATTTCTTAAACAATTATTGACTCTCTATATGTGCGCAGTAGGTTTCCAGGGATAAGGTACTACCTTTGTGCTTTGAAATATCCTGTTTTTTTCCTTTGGATGTCAGAGATACCCAGAGATAGAAGGTTTAAGCTATTCCTTCCTTCCAAACCATTCTTTAAAACTTAGAGTCTTCAGAGGAACAGATAGCTTCTTACTTAATCTAAAAAATCTCAGTTTTCCACTTGGAGGCATAAAAAAATAACTAAAAGGAGAATAGCTGGTCTTAGGTTGGGTACAAAGTGTAGGAAGTGAAGCTCTCAAGTTTTAGCTCCTCACTGACTAACTACTCAGTGCACGAAGTTGACTCATACACCAACTTATGCTCCTTATTTTGGCTGAAATTCTTCCCAATATTTCCCTTCCCTCTCCCATAATATGATGAAGTTTTTCATTTAACAAAATGTTTTGGAAAGCAGAAGTGAAGTTCATTTGACTTCATATCATGTTTTTGAAGACTACCGCTATCTTGACACTTTCCATCTCATATCTTGAATGAATATGATGGAAATTGGAGGAAGATAATTTAGTATGTGTGGAGTAAAAACCAGAAAAAAACACAGAGAAGGATTCTTCTGGCCTGCACTATTTCTGTGTTAAAAACTCTTAGTTCAGCAACACAGTATGCACTTACACCTTGGAGGGGAGATGCTGTTCAGATTGAACTCTCTCTAATACATCTTTCTTATCTGAGGTGATGGGTTTTTGTTTGAGTTTTTTTCTTGTTGCTTTGTTGGTTTTTGTCACCAGGACATAGATGTCTCGGGGTTCATTTCTACTTTCTGGTTTCTCTGAAACTGTTACCCGCGGAAATCCATCCTTTTTTAGTTCTCTGTTTTATGCTTTTGAGGTCTGTTACCAATAGCTAAATCTAGAACTGCATTTATACAGGAAAAGTTAATTTTTCATAGACAACCATGGCTGATAAACTAAGCTGAGTGAAATCATAAACTGACTGCTAGTGGAAAGGAGTTTGATTTTCTTAAGTAAATGCATGTCCAGAGTTTATCTGGTTGCGGTTTTTTAATTCTTTAACTCCAAAATTCTGTGATTCTGTAAAAAAACCCCAACAGACCAAAACCAAATGCCACCCCATCTCACACTGTTCAACATAGGGCTCATGAGACTATGAAACAAGTGGCAATATTTAGTCTCATGCTGTATCAGAGTCATTTCACTTTATTTCTTTGAACAAGAAAGTGTCATTTGATCATCTTACTGACTACATGCTGGTTATTAAATCAGGTTAAAACACATGCTAAAGATAAATTTGATAATGCTTATTTCTCTTCTAGGCCAAACTCTGATTGCCTGTAGATGTAAACAGACTTTATGCACCTAACTTAACAATTGTAACACCTGCAATTTAAGTTTATGACCTCAACAGCGAGATTCACTGAGGGAATGACCATTAACTGATGCACAGGGTCTAGCAATCTAAAACATGGAGTAATATTACCAAGAATACTCTTGTGATCTCCTGAAGCTTTTGGTATGAGCTTTGAGTTAGAAGTGTCATATTTATGCTACCAATAGCTTGTGTTCCATTAATTATGTGGGCAAGATTTAAGTTCATGAAAACTTACCACAGGACCTTGAGGTGTGAGATTTCAGCTCTTAAAAATGTGTAATGTGAAGGAATAACTCCTTATGTGTGGTTAGAGCCTGCTATGTGACAATCAACACTTGAAGTTCCCTACTGGTGTATTAGAAGAAAGAGTGAACAAAATAAATTCACATTAACTCCCATTCAACTCATGATTTTGTAAATCTCTTCCACTTACTACCCAATCATCTGTTTTCTAGGCTGCAGATTTCCAGCCTGTATCTTTCAACTACAGATTTTATGGGTCTCTAGTGGGAGTGAGAAATGCACTAATTCTGCCTTCACCCACTGTGATACATAATGAAGGCCCTGACTAGCTAGCCAGGTCTCACTACTGCTCTGAAAGGGCTTTGCCTTGAAGAGCTGATTATTTTGCCTTTAGTCAGCACTGATTTTATCTAGGCATTGTTTCAACACTGTCTTTTCCCTATATTATAATTTTGGGGAGTTGGAATGGATTTGCCTAGAGACTGACTTCCTGACACCTTTTTGTTTCTGATGCTGTCTACACAGGATGGAGACTTGAAATTCTCCCTTGAGTCTGTGAAGAAGCTAAAGGAGCTTATGGATGAGAACAGACACATTAACCCTCGCATGGTGGTTTCAAAGGCTAGCTATTCTCCTTGTGATGATAAATACCTTCCTGAGGAGTTTCAAGCTGTGTGCAAAAGAGAAGATGCATCCATTATTTTTGAGAGGCTGAGTATGTAGCTCATATTTGCGTAGTTGTAATTTTTATCACACTTTTCAATGTTAAGCATTCCAATAGTAGCAGGCAAAGAAATGTAATTACTGTTCTGTCACTTCTAAAGCAGCTGAAAGAGTCCATGTTGCCTTTCTACTACTCTTCTTGCAAGGGTTGGACTATGCTAGCTGTGAGTCCCCTACAAAAAAATTCC